ATCCTTGGCTATTATAGCAAGTCTATGGCCAGCCTGGACTACATGAGATCTTGTCTCAAACAAATATAAAGATATATAGATGGATATATTACATATATAAAACCAAGTTCAGACATTATACATACTTCTAAAAGATATTGAGGCTCAGCTGTCCTAAGGGATACATATAATACAGATCTCAACAGGAGCCAGGAGACAGTAAGATGACTCTGAGGGTAAAGGTGCTGATTGCTGAGCCTGACACATGAGTTCAATCCCCAGGGCCCATATGGTGAAAGGTGAGAACCAACTCCTGAAAGTTGTTCTCTTTCATGGCACTCCTCATCCACCCTACCCCCCCCCCAGAATAAACACATAAATACAATTTAAAAAAATAATTTAAGGTGACAGAGCTCTGCTTTAAAAAACTGCCATGCCTTTGTGTTTACATACGCCAATATCTAGGTTTGGATTTGTTTGCTTGTTCGGACCTATTTCTGTAATTTTGCCAAGAATGAGAAAATTTAAGGATATCAACAGAACAGGTAGGCAAAGCCTTCAAAAGACCGGCCCCAGTTGGGAGCTGAGTCTTGAATCCCCGGTAGGGCTCTCTGGCACTATGCACAGAACAAGCACACCAGCCTATCTGCAGCTCCTGTAACTCTAGGTCTAGCGGCTTCTCCCTTGCACACGACCTCTTGCAGAGTCTCCATGCAAACTGTCTCTCAAGTTCAATTCAGGTTAGAAAAGAAATAGCACGCAATTCCCCCAATCTCTTTCGAGAAAGCTAGGCGCAAATCATACTGTATACCCTGTCCTACACTCTAGAGCTCCAATGTCTGGGAACCCACTTTGAAGGGATGGGAAGAAATACCAGGAGGTAGAGCCACGACTCCAAGTCACCCGGCACTATCTCTCAGAGTCTCGCTGCAGGGCCACAGTACATGTGTGCATCACAGTAACACCGGCACTTTCTACCCCAAATCCAACCCAAAAAGACCAAATTTCAACTCCTCAGATATATTAAAAAAAAAAAAAAAGATTTTGCATTGCTAAGCCATAAATGTGAGCTCCTCTAACACTCACATCCAGCTCCAAAAGGGACCTGATGGGAGGCTGTTCCAGACTGTCCACAGCGATTTCAGTCCTGTTCTGCTCAGGGAACAAGGTCATTTGTGTTTTTTGAAGTCACACACAGCTTCCTTCCACAGTCAACCCCCATAACACAGACACACAGGCACACACACACACACACACACACACACACACACAAGTTCTTCAAAGCAAAGAGAAAGGAAGGAGTAAAAAAGGAAATAAATAGTAGGGCTGAAAACAAATCCTACAGCGCCATGATGGGGGTGTTAATTGAACACAGACAGAAAGAGAAAGAGGAGAACAAAAGAGTGTTAAAGAAGGGGGTATCAGTTTTTCAAACCTCCTCCAATTATTTGATTGAACTTGAGCGCAGACTGCACTCGGTGAAAACTTAGCTGTGGAGTGCCAGGGATAGCCAGATACTCAGTTCTAAAATTAAAATTCACTCACGACTGCAGCTTGTTCACAAGTGTCTGTAACTATTCTCTGTAACAAACAAACCTTGCTTTCCACCTTTTCCGAATATTTAAACCTCTGTGATTTTTGACGGGGAAGGGTAAACACTTTTGTTTTAATAAAGCAAAAAACCTTTTAGGTACTGATTAAATATTCTGCTTTTATTTTTTCAGAAAAATCAAGGGGTTTTGATTTTTTTTTCTCCTACCCTTCTGTCCCATCAACCCATTTCCCAGCCCGCACAGACACAGGCAAGGTAGCCTATCTCTAACTTGTCAGAGAAGTGCCTGCCGGGCCTTAAAAAGGAACTTTGACTGTAAATGACCCAAACTTCATGCTTGAAGATTCTCCGGCCCCATACTCAACATGCAGCTGAAAGCCACATTCCGGAGCTGCAGATCTCCGCAAGGTTTACTCAATACAACTGCTCACTGCAATTTGCAACCTGGCTGCATTTTTATCCTACTGTTTATTTTTAAAAAGCATAAAGTATTCAAATAAACACTTCCCCACACTCTTAAAGCAAAACACACAAGTTCATCTACTTTTCCAAATCCCGAAGTAATTTCTGACTTAAATACCCATCAATCAACTATAATTCAGGCACTGCTGTCTTCTTCGGGTATTATGCACGTGTTTTTGTTTTTGTTTTTTAAGTACCAAAAGGGTGACAAGATGTCTTAGCCAGTTTCCCTGCTTAACTTTCAACTAAAATGTTAAAAAAAAAATCCAAGAAACAAAAGCAGCAAGCCCCCCTGCCAACACACACACACACACACACACACACACACACACACACAAACTCCTTTCCAGAACCCTGCCCAGGTGAACTGGGGAACCACAGTGAGTACACAGAACTGCTCCACCTCGAATGGCCTCCACAGGGTTTCAGGTAGCCCTCGGAAACACTCATTTCATGCTACAGAAGTTCACAGTCCCAATAGGAAAAGTCCTCAAACAGCGAAGAAGATGTGTGAACCCATCTTTCAAACCATCTTTTTACTAGTTCTGGGTGGAAAGAGGGAAACAGACAGGCAGACAGAAAAGGGCAGTGAGAGATGTACAACTTTACAGACACTTTACATTCCCCCAGGGCATCAAAGGCATAGAAGACGTGCTTGCGGCCCAGATCCTGAACGGGGAAGTCAAGGTACTTGAGAATAAAAGCTTGTTTTGAACACGGTACTGTCTGTTCTCCATTTGACATCAAGGTCTGTTCCTTCCCTGCAGCCCCCAACACTCAAGCGGAATAATGCAAGTGAGTTCACGCTCCCCAACTCAGGCGTCCTCTCCATAGAACCCTGTTTTGCACCCCTTTCCACACAGGGGACAATCACCATTTACATTACTTCCTAAACTATTCTTTAAAACATCCTGTATCATCAGTAACGCACATTTTTAAGACTCCAACCGTAGACATGTTAACATAAAAAAAATCAAAAGCAGACATCACCTTCCAACCCTAAGAACATTATTTTGGCCATACTGCGCCTTCCCACCCTGGAGCGGTAGCCAGTATGAACCAAGAACAGTCTTCAGTGCGCACCTGCACTGGACCTCTCTTCACACCCACCACTTTGATCTACCACCTCAGCAGGTTTTAATTAGGAGACCAGAATTAAACACTTGGGCCATGATGTACAAGTCAGTGACCCGACTGGTGCCCTTCCCATTAAAAGTATGACAAAGTATCTTTAAAAAGAAAATCTCCTTCAGTCCCTTTATTCCCTGTTCTTTTTTATTTTGACCTGAAATTTCATGAACCAAGAGTAACAAAACTCCAACTTGACGAGAAACAAAACCCGAGGCTCAGGGTGAACACCCTCTCTGAGGCTGAAGAAGAAAAAGAGGAGAAGGGGACAAGAAAAGGAGAGAGGGGGACACGTAATACACACATGCCCACAGTTTCCCTCTGAGTTACTAGAAAGGAAGAAGAAAAAAACAAAAACTAAAAAATGTAACAAACTCAGGGAAAGCTGCTTTGATATGAGTATGCACAATCAATACATCTCTTAAAAGGCGTCTCTCATGGCTAAAGCAAGGCAATTATCAGCTTTGCAATAAGGTTAGGTCCTGGCACAGCCACCTGGATGACTCAGAGGTCTCAGCAGCCCGTCTCAGGTGCTTTGTCTGGGATGTTATACACTACACAAGTATCATTCGACAAAGGAGCTGTTTACTAATTTCACAGACATTTGAAAGATGCGAGTAATTACATATTCAATCAACAGTGACCTCCTGAAAAGATTCCTTTTTTCTTTTTAAACAGAGAAATCCAGAGTCCTCAAATCAAAAGAGAGAAAGAAAGGACAGCCACCCTCCATGGCTCCCCCTCCTCCTCCATGTGTAACTATCAATGTATATCAACGGAGCATGCAATCATATCTATTGTCACTTTCACTCATGTCATGCCCTTGCTTATATGGTTTAGATATGAATTATTGACTGTTATACACCTTGTTGTAAAAAATAAAGAAATAAATGGGACGGCAGGTACTTTGCCCGGCTTCAAAGTGGGCTAGAAAGTCTGAGACCAGCAGCCGATCCCCATTTCCAGCAAGCACCCCTCAGTCCCTCTTTATGCCCTGGCTTCAGATTGCCTTCTCGACTCTTTCTTCTTACAAGGGAGCGATTTAACCCACTTTGGAAAATTAAGGACCAAAATAAAGAAACAAGAGTACAGTTGCTAAGTGCCCTTTCCCTGTGCATCTGTTGTTTAAGAACACCTCTGATTGATGACTGCGATTTTTTAATTGTTGCTTTAAAATTTAAATGCCCTCCTGGGATGTGTTATAAGTGTGTTAGTCTATGATATGAGATCTAGAAAGTAGAAAAACAACAGAGGGAATGCTCTCAGGATAATGTAGTGCCCTAAATCCAAAGACTGTCCCTCCTAGGAAAAAAAAAAAAAATCAGAGGCCATTTAAAAGCCGGTTTCACCTAGAAAAAAAATCAGAGGCCATTCAAAAGCCGGTTTCACCTAGTTGCATAGTTCATTCCACAAAGGTATTTGAAGACACTCTTTTGAGAGCCCCAAGTTGGTTACTCTGTGTAAATAACAAATAACAAAAGTGGCAGAAAGAAAGCAAGCTGAACAGTTTATCTCTCAAACCTCTCCCCCAATAGTAGGGGTCAGAGGGATGGGGGCAGTAATTACAGATGAAAATATATTCCTTCAGGAAATGGACTTTTACTTTCGTATTTTCCCCAAAGGCATATCATTCTATGAATTTCCCGTCGGAACCTCTGACTTTTCCCCAATTTCAAAAACAGTTGGTGTCAGTTTTAAAGAAAACAGACTTGAAATCAGCTGTCAAAGATGTTCCCCTTTAGAGAAAGCAGAAAGGTCTTTCATGGCATCACTTGCATTTTAAAATGTTAAGATCCCAAGAAGAGTAAGAGGGCCACAGGATCAGTGATTTGACTAGCCCAAGAAATGCACCCAAAGGTTGGATTTTTTTCATTCCTACCTGTTTTTTCTTTGATTTCACACAACACATTAAACAAGGCGGGCTTCATTCTGTGGCAGTTTAAAGCATGTTTTCTGCAAGAAAAAACAACAACAACAACAAACACAACAGCTTAGGTGGGCACTCAAGATCAAACTGACAAGGTACAGGGGGAACCTGATCATTTAGCCAAAAAAAAATTGCACTCCAAGCTTAACTCTGTGGCATGCTTCAATTGTTTTTATGACTTAATATACAAAGTCCCACCATAGGAAAAGAAGCAATGTTAATTAGCAGTGAGAGTAGGGATTTAACTACAGAGCAGAAATAACCTAAATTATGCCCATTAGGGAGAGCGTTTTCTTTCTTTTCCTTTTTCTCTTTCTGTCTTTTCCCCTCTTGGTAAGTAGTTAAATCGAAGTGTAATTCTTCAACCAAGAACCCTATTGAAGACAATGAATGCAGCAGCCCAAATGCATAGGTTAACAGTTCTGTATATTTTCTCTGCAAGAACCATAGCCTAGGAGCTCTCTGCTTCTGTGTGTGTGTGTGCATGTGTTTTCAAATTTAATTCATCCATGTGTTCGAATTCATTCTGCAGATGCCCCTGAATTCTCATAAACATAAGATGCTTGAAAGGTCTTGTGAGTAGAACTGTCAATTTATAAAATTTCAGTCCCCAAGTTAAAGAGTATGGAAATGTGTTGCCAGGGGGCAAACATACCCAGATGGGGAATAAATTCATTTCTCTGTGTTCACATTATGGCTCTTGTGCGCACACGGCTTATTTGCAGGTGTTGAAATTCAATTATTTACAATTAGGACCTTGCACCCACCGGGGAAAAAATAAATACAATTTTGCCTTTTAGATTAGTGATTTACCTGGTTCCTGTGGTTGTGCATGTTTGTACTCAGAATGCACTTGAGGGACAGAACAATGCCCTTCCTTCTAGTTTATTATGGACTCACTTAGCAGAATGATATTGTTTTGGAAACAAAATACTGATCTTATCAGCTACTAGCTAAGGGAATTCTGTTTACTAACTAAATGTACGTGTAAAGATAAGCAGAAAACCCTGGCACTCAAAACACATTCAATTCTTTTTCAATCAGTTTTAAAGTTTAAAAAAAAAAAAAAAAAGATACATCTTCCAGAGGAGCAGGGATTACATACACTCTATGCTGTGTAGCAAGAGAATAATAAACTCAAAATTCAAAATGCACACATACACATCATCTAAAATAGTCATAGCTTACTTTCTGAATCAACAAATATGTACTACAAAGGAAAGAGCTTAATTGTCTAAGTAGCTACATACTGTTTCAAGAAAAAAAAAAGAGGTTAGAAATTTTTTTTAGTTCTCAGGAGGGGTTAAAAACAGACTGAAAACATTTCAATACATTGAAGATATTTTCTGGGTCTTTAAAAACACTTCTCACTCATCCGTTTTTGTTTTTGTTTTTAACACAGGCCCAAATGCAAAGAATTGGCAGCCTCATCTAGAAGCTTTGCTTCCCCACACTACACAAATGGGGTTGGAGAGAGACAACTGTATTCTTCCCGGTCCCCAAACTGCATCTGATCTTTCTCAGCATCTAGGCCATTAAAGGGGATACCCGCTGAGAAGTGTTTGTCCTCAGTTTCACAAAAAGAGAGAACAGAAAAGTATCGAGGATCCAAGCTCACTGGCCTCTTCCACTTCATGAACTTGTGATCAAACCAGTTTATCAGTGGTGTCTGAGTGTATTTTTCTGGAACAATGTTATGGAGAAATCTGTTCCAATTCAAGAGAGAATTGCCAGTGGGGAGCCTCTTGTTTGCCATACCCATTAGCTTTTCTTTGGATAATAACATTCAAAAAGAGCACCAATTAATTTTTCAAAAATCTTTCCCCTCCACCATTAAAAGCATGAAAATAGTTTGGGGGGAGTCTTTTAACATTACCAAGTTTTCAGGCGCCCTAAGCCTTAGCACTTTTAAGTTTACATGTTCCATGTGTTAGCAGCTAAAATAAGTGTAATTCATAACATGCGTGCTTTTAGCTGCTTCCTCTTATTTTCTCAAGGCTCTGTTTCCCTTACATAAAATTCATATTATGTGTTATCCACATAACTAAGTCACATAAGGGCTAGTCATTTTGTAATGTTTTAAAAATTCCAAAGCAAAATAGAAAGCACTCGAAAAATTAACAAAGCTGAGTGATTGTGTGGACATATGTGACCATTGGATTTTTTTTTTAATCCTTCCTATCTGAGTTGGGCCTTGGGCAAGCTGTTAGTGGCTTTGCCACTTAACCTGTGTTTTCATTTTGAAAGAGGATTTGCTGTAAAAATCCTAGAGTCAAGAACCTGGTGGTGGGTTCAGTTAAGGAAGCCCCAGTTTCATAGTTATATTCCTTCATGTCTTGTCCTACTGAAATACATGAAATTCATACATGCCTTCATTTCAATTCAGTTGCACTCTAAGTGATCCTGGAAAAGGCATGGGGCAGAGAATATACTTGATATCTGTTCCCATCCTTTATACAGGACCACACATATGTGTCTGTCCTGGGAAGGTGAGAGAACACCAACTCAAATTAAGAGACAATAAAGTTAAACTCAAAATCCGAGTCTTCTATAACTAACAGTCCTCAGAGCAAAATTATCTTCCCTTTCTTCCCATTTTCTTTTTCTAAAAACCAAAAGGAGTGATTGTAAGATATTTTCTTACTGTCTGACATCTAACACAGAACTACCCTGCTTTTTGTTTGTTTGTTGTTTTTGTTTGTTTTGGGTGGGGAGTGAGGAAAAAAAAAGACCAAAAAAAAATTATGGAGGGATACATGAAGAAGGAAAATCAAACTTCCTGAATTATCTAAGTAAGGAGTCAGTGGCCTCTGCAAATAAAGTGTTCTTGGGACATTTTTTATTTTGTCATGTTCCGAAGTCCCTCAACTACAGAAGGCAAGGAATGCCGCTCGGAACTTGACAATTCTGCTTCCCTCATACACTTTTTTAAAGCAGTTTAAAAAAAAAAAAAAAAAAAAAGTGCCGAGGGCCGCTTTTGGATTAGTTGGCAGCATTTTCGGCGTGGCTGCGTGTTTGTGTGCATTCATACAAATACCTCTAACAGACACACACGCACAATATCTACACACTGACACATCACCGCACGGGCGATCACACTTTCGATAACAACGCTCCTTTAAATTTTACTCCTCCGCCATGGAGTTGCTTGTTAAAATGAGAAAAGAAACAACATTTTTAAAAGAAAGCGCTGTAGTGATTCGGTTCCCATTGTTTCCCCCTGCGAGAGGGAGGAAAAAAAAAAGAAAGAAAAGAAAAGAAAGGCAAAGAAAAGCCTCCATCTCACCTGGCCTGCGCTTCATCCAAACTCTGGTCTGTGATGGTCATAATTTGCTGTAAAATGTCCCCGATGTCCTGCTTCCTCCCGCCCTCCCCCTCGGT